TGGAAAATTTCATCTAAAACGACGCTGAAGTATCAGATTAGGTTTTCATAATTTTTGTGATCTAGAAAACAGATTAAGTGTTAAACTGATGTATGAAAAGGTAAAAAGACTGAAGAAGAATATTTACTTACATTTGGCAGTGGACAGCATCCATATTGTCCTGTAGATAATTTACAACAAGTTGAACCATCAGGACATTGAGATTGTTGATCAGGACAAACAACATTTTCTACTTTTAAAGATTGAGATGATGTTTTCTTTGACCACATGACACTAGTTCCATCTTGTCTGTTACATTTACCAGCTCCAGTATCACAAGTTGTTCCTGATGGACAACAGTGGATTTGATCTGAACAACAAACAGCCTAAAATAAAGAATCTGTTGTTATAAATGGTTGTGAAGAGGAGAAACATTAAATGTTTGTATCCACTTATACTAGCTTTAATATTTGACTATATATGGTAAGTACAATTATTTATAAGCCACCAAATTGAAAAGTACAAAGGAATGACAACAAGATAAGCAGAAGAACAAGTGATAAAAGCTTCTAAACTTGAAGGAGACCTGGGAGCAGTACCTACAGAACAAAGTAAAAACTTAAAAAAACATGCAAGGGTTATAAAATGACAGATACAGAAGATGAGGACAGCTGTAGATAAGGCAACAGAAATATAGAAGCCAGAGAAACAGACAAAATGACAGAATAACAGCAGCAGTAGATGAGAAAAGAAGGAGATAAAGCAACAGAAGTACATGTAATTGGAAGACTTGTCCAATAATCAGATGAGAAATACAAGTATGTGATCTTGAAAGCAGATCAAAGTTTTAAGACTGAAGAAGAATATTTACTTACATTTGGCAGTGGACAGCATCCATATTGTCCTGTAGATAATTTACAACAAGTTGAACCATCAGGACATTGAGATTGTTGATCAGGACAAACAACATTTTCTACTTTTAAAGATTGAGATGATGTTTTCTTTGACCACATGACACTAGTTCCATCTTGTCTGTTACATTTACCAGCTCCAGTATCACAAGTTGTTCCTGATGGACAACAGTGGATTTGATCTGAACAACATACAGCCTGAAATAAAGAATCTGTTTTTATAAATGGTTGTACGAGGAGACATAGAACAAATCTAAACCAACAAGAAATGAAAGAAAAAATAATAAAAGCTTCAGAAATTAATGAAGCATTAACAAAGGAACAAAGTAACAACAGGCAAAAGTAATAGAAGAACTGCAAAAGAAGATAAAGAAGATGAAGATAACTGTTGGACAATAGAAGATTACAGTTACAGATAAAACAACAGAAGATGAGGACAGTTGCAAATAAAACAACAGAAGATGAGGACAGTTGCAAATAAAACAACAGAAGATGAGGACAGTTGCAGATAAAACAACAGAAGATGAGGACAGTTGCAGATAAAACAACAGAAGATGAGGACAGTTGCAGATAAAACAACAGAAGATGAGGACAGTTGCAAATAAAACAACAGAAGATGAGGACAGTTGCAGATAAAACAACAGATGATGAGGACAGTTGCAAATAAAACAACAGAAGAACAAACAACAAATAGTACAGAAGCAACAACAACAATAAAAATAAAGAAGACAGAATAACAGCAACAGAAGATGAAGACAGAAGAAGATAAAGCGACTAAAGTAGTTGGAAAATTTCATCTAAAACGACGCTGAAGTATCAGATTAGGTTTTCATAATTTTTATGATCTAGAAAACAGATTAAGTGTTAAACTGATGTATGAAAAGGTAAAAAGACTGAAGAAGAATATTTACTTACATTTGGCAGTGGACAGCATCCATATTGTCCTGTAGATAATTTACAACAAGTTGAACCATCAGGACATTGA